TTGTTGTTGTGGTTGTTGTTGTTGTTGTTGTGGTTGTGGTTGTTGTTGTTGTGGTTGTGGTTGTTGTTGTTGTGGTTGTTGTTGTTGTTGTGGTTGTTGTTGTTGTTGTGGTTGTGGTTGTTGTTGGTTGCTGGTGTTGTAGTTGTAGTTGTAGCTGTTGTTGTTGTTGTTGTTGCTGCTGCTGCTGCTGCTGCTGCTGTTGCTGTTGTTGTTGTTGTAGTACCTGCAGTAGCAGCAGTAATGATAGTACTAATAGTAATAGTAGCAGGACCTCCGCAGGTGCGATCCGTTGTCAGCATGATCTTGCTGCTCTCTTCTCCACTAACCAAGGCTAAAAAACATTGAACTTTATCATAAAGACCAAAAAAGGAAGCCCAAAAAGTTTAAAGTTCTTCTATTGGCTAAGTAAGGATGATGCTCATGATGATGACCATGATGATTGAGACACCCCTAGGCCCCACCTGTCTTACTAGGACCCAAAGGGAACGCCGTCCCAATGAATGGCACCCTGTGCCTGTCCTCTCCTGGCATCTCCGATTCCCTCCTTAAAAGGGCCCTATAGTACTTCCCATGGATAATCTCCTATATAGCCCCTCTTTAAGGGGCTTAGACTACTGTTCATACAACCTCATAGAATCCCTAGTCCCTCTTCTCCTACCCCTAAATCCTGAACCCTCTTCCCCCGCTCTAGATTGCGAGAAGGGGCGCCCCGAACCACCAGGAGTCTAAGCGGAAGCGGAAGAGGAGAAATCTGAAGGCCTTCACCTGATGAAGTTGCTTATGGGTTGAGAGCTTAGGGTTTAGGACTAAAGGGTCTACGTAGGGCTTAGGGTTTAGGATTTAGGGTCTAGGATTTAGGGTTTAGGGTCTAGGATTTAGGGTTTAGGGTTTATAGGGATTAGGGATTAACACAGGGCCTCAATGAGTACCAACACCTTTTTTTCAAGCCTATTTGAGGTACCCTATACCAGACCTGAACAAGAAAACTAGAACTAGGACATGGGTAAGCATTTAGGCCTGTACAGATTAACTCCTAAACCCTAAACTGAAAATTCATCTAAGTCCAGAGCAGAGCCTGACGCGGATAGGGTTCAGGGTTGAGGCAGCTTGGACTTACTGCTTGTTGGCAGGCAAAAACCAAACGGAAAAGACAGTGAAAACTACTGCGCTACTGGGGCTATATAGGGGAAATGTTTGAAAACATTTGCTGGTGTGAGGTGCGCTGCCGGGGTGGGGGTTTGAAAAATGTTCTGGCTTCCTCTTGAAATTGTTCAGGGACATATGAGGCATTCGCAGAGCAAATCCATGTTGAGGGTCCTGTTCCCCTGGAAAAGTACCATGCAGAAATTCGAGGCTGTGTCCTAGACCATGAAGACATGTAAGCCGCACCCACTCTGAGACTAAAGGGAATTTGGCTACCCCAACCCCCAAAATTAGGAGCCTACCTACTATCATATGACTCTTTTGCGGTCCTTTTTTTATAAGGGCTGGGGTTACCAAACTCTTCTCATTTCCTGACCCTAAACCTTCCCTAAAGCCTAAGCTAATTTTAAACCGGGCTGGAAACGGACATTGAAGGATTCTTCAGGGGTATATGGCATTGATAAGGTCCGGGTTTAATGGGGTCATAAGTAAAGCTATAAGTGCCGCAACTATACTGATCCTGGCTCATAGTCCCACACCTGCGATCCGCCAAGTAAGCTCTACACCCTGAACCCCTCACTACGGAACGGTGCCCAGATACTTAGAATATGGATGACATGTTTTTTGAAAAAGCGGTGGCTCTAAACACTAAATTAGAGACCCTGGGGATATATTATATAGATTGATTACAAGAGGATGATTGGGGCTTACCTGCGGATGCTCAGCCCAACACTCTAAACGCTAAACCCCCTAAACCCTAGACCCCAAACCTAAAACCCCAAACCCTAAACCCTAAACAACCCTAAACCAAAAACCCTTGAGCCTACTCCCTGACAGCAAGCCTTGTCATGTTGCCCTGTACTACTCCAGCTTGGGACCACGATCACCGCATACCTGGGTTCGGGTTTAGGGTTTAGGGTTGGAGGTTTAAGGGGTTCAGGG